TTACGAAAGCGCTCTTCACCTCATTTGTCCAGAAGGGTCAATGGATTCCAAGACTATCATTTGAAATGAACAAGAGCTTGAAAACTCCTCAAACCAGCTGTTTGTTGAAGCAGGTTGACCTTTGGTGCTTTTGAAAGCAAAGAATGCAATGGACATTTCTTTTCGAAAAGGATGAGAGGTTGCATATGTCGCAAATGTTTCATAATTTAGTATGTAACTGCACAAAAAATTTTAAAGTCAGGGGACGCGATGGTGTTGAAAAAAAACCAGGTGTCTTTATTAGGGATTTTTTCCGAATTTTTCTATTTTTCTCCGTTCGAATTCAACAAGATTGGAAGCCGTTTTAAGGAGGTCATGGTGGGCCAATATGCGCATCACACAGTAAAGTTTCAGACGGATTCATAAACAAATACGCAAATTACGACGATTTCTAGAGTGTCTTTATAATTATGTCAGCACTGTATGCTAATAAGGATAATGATGCTCTTATGCTTTTAGGAGCTCTCTAATCATGCTTATGCACGTATACGATGGTAGGCCAAAACATCAATTAGCTAGTATTATGCATAATGTTTCCATCTATGCTATCTATCTCATTGTTAACAATATCATGTTTTCATTAACATCAGTACCACTTGGTGTGGCATGCCACACTCCACGCTTGAACCTGATAATGACAGATACAAAGGGTTGAACCAAACTACGAGGCGTACGCCGCATCCATATCTTTATGCAAGTGTGCGTACGCTGCATATGCCGCGTGCGCCGCACAGAACCGGAAGGTTTTCAAATGAATGTTTAGTTACCTACATTTCATTTGTGATGGTCAGCATTACCCGGCGAGTTACGTAGCCCTTATGGATAAGCGCGGTAGGGATTGAATAAGGAGAGCACACTTGTTAAAGCTTCTATCTTTTTACACCCTGGTTGTAGCTGAAGCATAGTTGACCCTTCGATTACAAAACTTTTCAAAACATAGCAAAATCTCTTATGCTAATATCGCTCCTTCTGCCTTGCTTTAAGAAAAATGCTGTCCGCTGTATTTGACAATCTGTTTGTTCCTAATACGTGATTTGTCAAGGTTGTACATGCTGCGTCGCTGCAGCAACAGTTTCCATGCTTGCGTCGCTGCAGACAATTTAATACTACGTCGCTGCAACAACAATTATGCTAGGGGGGGGGGGGAATATATTAGGTTGGTTCATAATTTATGCACGTTTTCTCAACTTCCACTTCTAATGAAGATAATTCTTTTCCAAAACAATCTTTCTGAACGCAACAAAAACTATTGTAGACAGCAAACCTTTAGCTATACAACATATACTTTTGTGTGATTGCACTCATCACGGGAAAGATTTTACGGCTCAAAATTTACCGAGAATTTTTTCTGGAAAGCTCTAGTTTGAAGGAGCATAACTTACTCTCAAAAGAACTAGATGGGAGCAAACTTTGCTCATTGTGTAGCCGATGGTCGATTCAGTAGTAGCGTGGAACTTGACTTTTACCAAAAATTTTCTGCGGAAAAAATATTGCTAAGAAAGCAAAAGTACCATTTTCTCCTGCATTCTAGAGAAGGCGAGAATCTGTATTTTTTAGATACCTTCAATTTTTTCTCATTTCAAAAACGAGAAAATTCTGCCGTTTTCCTATGATTAGTAGTCCTTGGTCTACTCTACCAAAACCAAGTGAAAGTTCTGTAATTGCTTCTCATATAAGCATTTTATAAAGCTCCGAGTGATTCCAGTATTCAGCTAAGTTTGAGTCAAAGCTTCTCGGCTCAGGATTTCTAAAAAATTTAGCCTTGGTAAGCATTTTGTAGCACAAATCTGTGCGTTTATAACACATATTTTTTAAAACAAATCTGAGCATTTTTCATGGAATTAAGGCAAGTCGAATGAAAGGAAAAAATTTCAAGTTTTAGTTCCTCACCTTTAATGGCACGGAACTTCGGTCTGAACAAAGATCTCCGAAAACGAAAGTGTATGTTTGAAAGTATAAGAAACGAGCTTTCCGATAATGTAGATGGTTTTAGAGAAAAACGATTTTTGATTGAAAACTAGCGTTTGAAAGAAGAGGTAGGAAAAACGTGCATTAATTATGAACCAACCTAATATATCGGATTGACTCCATCGCTGCAGTGACTGCAGCATGAAACAATCCTTAGCGTGAACGCGCGCCGCAAAGGAGAGAGTGTGCTTTGTTGGTGTTCAGTTCACTCGTAATGGAGGGTCCTTTAGTAATTCGACTAGTCGAGTCTATCTAATATCTAATATCTAATATCTATCTATCTAATAGTCTGATAAACTATACTCAAATGCATTCAATCAAGCTGAATGTTATTAAAATTTTTATTTTATTTCTATTTTATCTATGCATACAATGATGCGCCAAACGAACGTGTTAGTTCGATAAGTTTGTCCTACTATAAAATAAATGATGAGAAATAATAAGCCCTCGTTTCTCGAAAGATCAAACTATATTGCAAAAAGAAAATTTGTAGCCGGCACTCAATACGTTTATAGATGTAAGTATGAGAGGAAGGATGGACGGTCATGAAGCAATCGTGGTGTGAGCAACCTTTGAGTCACCACTCTCAAGCGAAAAAAAGAGAAAGACACCTGAGCGAATGGGCGAATCCATGCGTGCCCAGGCGGGTAAACCGCTTTGAGCTTTCTTTTACATCGCTATCATGGATAAAGAAGGCAGCAAAATATAAAAGCATTTATACAACAGGCCTTTGAGTGAGGCAACATCAGGGTTTAGGAGAGCAATCAAAGTAATTTGATTTTTTCCTTTTTGGGGCCATTTTGTAAACAGTGGACGAGTGCACCTGATCCTATTTTTGTCGAAAACAAGCATTAACAGGTAAACAGTATGGGTTCGATGTGTTTACAAAGTGAAAACGAGTCAACGCCAAGGGCCCTATGCATACATCTCCGCGGGAAGGGGAAGGGATCTGAAAGAGGATGGCTCATATCTCGTTACTCCAAATATCTTTCTTTTCCTCTCTCTACCTGGGTAATAAAATTGGGTGAACTTTATGAAGGACTAGCTGGCTTACCCGGCTCCGCCGTATGTTCCGAATAGAAAATTCCATTTCTCAACCGATCCGGACCAAACTTGGCACAGATACACTTCGGGCCCTGGCGGGTGTCACAGTCCACTTTTCGTTATCAATCGATGTCGATTTTATCGATTTTTTGCAAAATTTGAGCTAGGGGGCTGGAATTTGGCAGAGGGGTGTAATCGAGCATGCTGATCACCCCCACGGGGGTGATCAGCATGCTCTTTATCATCTGTCCATAGTTTCAGCAGTTATCCACCCGGCCACCTGTCCACACCTGTACATTTTCTGGCGCCCCATGCTTGTGCCGTGGTATACTGGGGGAACCATCGCTCATAACTTTCCCAGAAGATCGTTGAAAAGCTAAGGAACAAGGATTTGGTATCAGTGCCCCAAGACGCAAACTTGAACTCCACGACCAACACATCAGTAGCTTATTAACTGGTAAAAATTACAAGAAAATTAAACAAGATTTTGTAAACAATCAAGTTTCTCCTTAGCTTGCAATAATGAAATAAGCTCATAGCTTACTATCAGGAGCTGCGTTTGGTGAAAACATGCCACGATCCAGTCCTAGTGCTGTAGCGCAGGAAACTCCTCCATCTAACGATGGGCGGGGCTAACGGTGCGTACCTACTGACACATGCCTGGCAAGTTTGGTCCCGGGCGGAGCCGGGTTTGCCATCTAGTCGTTTATAAAGTCCGCCACCCCCATGAAGATTTACATACCTTGATACGCCTGCGCGTTATGTTGCTATATAAGATTAGATTTTCATTATTTTGTGTGGTCCCTTAAAAATCCCCAGGGCATCACCTCTCACATCTGGATGTCTAAATATGGTAGTAGCCAAGAATGTCCAAATCTGCCCGGACTAGGGCTCGGCACGAGGTGGATTTTGGAAAATGCAAAAAACGAACTCTTCCTTGACATATCTCAAATTTTACGAAATCTCCTTTGACTCTAAGCCATTATCCTGAAAATCTTCGAAAAAACGAAACGTTGACCAAAAAAACTTTGCGAATCTTGTGTCTTTTCGGCCACAAGAACGAAGCCCCCCTTGCTTTTTTGTCCCAAAAACAATATTCAGCTTGCTTACCAAGCCACCTGTGTCGACCGCTGGCCCGGACGCTGCTTTTCCGCTTGTCAGAGACAAAAGAGTGTCTGTGTGTTGCGTGTTCTTAGCAGTGTTCTTAAAAGGCTCAGCAGAATGAGACTCATGGCAAAACAAGGTCACAGAGTAACCCCATAATGAAACTATAGGTCAAAGTTCGATGTTTCTCTGCCACTTCTAACCCCCGAAAATTCAACGCGAAAGCAGCGCTTCCATCTCCCCTCATCTCCGACCCCGCCCACCTTGCGATTTCCCTTCCACCCCTCAGAGCTCCCATGCCGCAATGCTATAAGCATAAGGGTCCTGCAACGACTCTGCATCTTCTGGCGGACTTTGCGTCCACTCGTCCATTTTGAAATTAGGCGGCCAGAGAGCAGGGGAGATGAGCGCTGTTTTCGCGCTGAAAGTTCGGGGGTTAGAAGTGACAGAGAAAGATCGAACATTGGCCCATAGGTTCCATTATGGGGGCTCCTATCCTGTGACCTTGTTTTGCCATGGGTCTCATTCTGCCGAGCCACTGCCTTTAACAGGTTCCCTAGCCATCAATCCCTTCAAACAAACACCACCCCAAAGTTAGAGCAGAGGCACAATTCCGTTTTGAGCACAGAAAGCGAATCAACATAAAAGCAAACAGGAGTTAATTGTTTTACGCTGCCCAAGATACACTTTGTGTGACTCAAGAATGACTACTCAGGAGTACATTTGATCTACGTTCCTCCTATCAAGTTCGAGAAAACGCCGATGTCTTGAAAATCATACTTCCGCTTTCAATTTTTGAAACAATCTGCTATACAATATTCTCTTTGAACGGTGGACTCATCAATATGTATCACGACAAGATGTCTGCGGTGACATACCGAACAGAGACGACGGCATTCTACGTAAGTAAAATACCCACAAATACTCAAAAGATATTTTTTTCTGTTTTTAGATCGTCCCTTACTATACACTGATTTCTCCATTGATCCTTTCTTATGCGATCAGAAGCGCAGAAAAAATGAGAGCGGCCAAACTGAAACAGATGACAAATAGAAAGGATGAAAATGATGCCTATGCTCAAATGTATATAAAGATGTGGAGGTCTTGAGTGAAGTTCTGCTCCCAGTCGACTGCATATTTGTAATAAATCTTGCATAAATTCTTTACTCAGCATTTATCTTTTTATGGACGTCAACACGACCCTTGCACAAACTGGCATAAATGTCTAGGATCCTTAAAACTTACACTGACAATCCATCAGTGCGAAATTCTACATCGTTTCCTTCATGTTTCTCACTTCTCACTTCTACTATATGAACAGTGAGGGGAGGAGCGCCCGTTGCCCTTCTCCCCGAAAATGGGTCGCTAAACCTTCGAAAGTCAATTTTCATAAGTTATAAAATTTGCAACTGACTAAATTTACATGCAAAATCAAAATTTTTTGTATTCCAAAATGAAAATATTACCGTTACAAAAGGAGAAGTTTTGAAAAGGTTCTTGAAAATTTATAAGCGGCAGCCTTTTTCGATGTTTTCAGAGTTATAGAGTCTTAAAAAGGCGAGAATCATACCAAAAGCTTTTCGGAGGACGTGGCTCAGCCAGCCTTTGCTCGGTGAAGATACTGTCGCTTCCTCCCAGTAGCGGTCGCAGGATTTCCAACCGGAGGGGGAAGGGACAAAAAGGGGTGAAGGTGCTCGTTAGCCACGCCAAGAAGGCGTGGTGCCGCCACGCCCCCGAAAAATTTTGTTCACAAGGCTAATTTGAAGTTTTAAAAAATTTCAAAAAATATTTTAATTGTTTACAAGTATTAACAAATCACTTCAACATTTTTATAACACCTGTAAGTAACTTTTAGAAATTTCGCGACCACTTCCCGGGGGGGAGGGAGGGGGCGCGTTGTTGCCTACTACTTACGATGTGACCATCGCTGTGATAAAAGCAAGCAGCACGCAGACGAAACGAATGCTTTACCAGTTTGATGACGAGTGTGGAAAAATCGGTGGACGGTTGAACCTCCAAAACGATGTTTATGATGAAGGGGCATTGCTTAGTTCTATCATGCTCAAAAATACATCGCCGAATGACGAAGCTGGTATAGTCCGCGACAGGGACGAATAGAGAATCACTGGCATCTCCCGGTCACATGACAGCCAACGGGAATGCAGATTGTAGTTGCTGCATATTAGACACAGATGACCGGAAGATTTGATTTTTTTTTCCTCTCGTAAATACTGACGCTTAGAACGCAAAAAATGGCCTGTTCTCAACTTGCGTGCACACCCACTGAAGACACCGCCATCTACCTGCCCCCCGCTTACGCATAACGATATACTTGTAAGTCGTTGGCTAGGTCCACAAGTGCTTGGTGCACAACTCTAGCTCTGAGTTTTCAGATAGTCAAACGTTCCACAAACACTTTTGCCCATCTCCATTGGCGGAATTTTGCTTCGCGTTGTACACTTTGTTGTCCTCGATGTCCATCTGTCCTCCGTTTATCCCAAGTTATGGCAGGCACGTCGGCGTTTCTCTTCCTCAGTGTAAACACTGCGTCGTTGAAAACAAGACACTCTTTTTATATCCATTGCGACGCCTACAAGTGCTGGGAGAGATGATTTGCAAAAAAAAGCACTTAAGCGCTGTGTCGCCTGTAGAGCCCTCGAGTGGCTGCAGTATTAGTCCAAATCTTAGCTACCTAACATGTAAGGAAAACCATCTAATTCAACACGCGAGCTCGAAGCTCCGAATCGTTCGATTGGTTGGCAGCCTACGGTAAGTTCAAGGCGCAATGGGCTATCTTCCCCTGTTGAGTTCTCTCACAAGCGTCTCCATATTTATGTGCGTCCTAAATACATGTAAGAAGATGTCTTCTTGAAAAAAGGTTTTCCAGTTCAATTTTCGTATTTCCACAAAGCGCATTCATAAGTCTGAATGCGGGAAGTTTCTCACCCAAGCCTAAGTAGTGTGCCTGCCACTTTCGTACTCGCTATGATGACGGCCTTTTTGGGATATCTTATATATAAAGCTGAATGTCTGTTTGTATGTCTGTCTGTATGTCTGTATGTACGTATGTTCCGAATAGAAAATTCCATTTCTGAACCGATCGGGACCAAACTTGGCACACATACACTTTGGGCCCCGGCGAGTGTCATAGGCTACTTTTCGTCATCGATCGCTATCGATTTTATCGATTTTTATCGATTTTTTTGCTGAGTTCACCTACGGGGCTGGGAGTTGGCACAGGGGGGTAATCGAGCATGGGGATTCCGAATACAATATTGGTTTTCAGGATTATCGATTACTTTTATCGATTTTATCGATTTTTTTGCAAAGTTTGAGCTACGGGGGTGGGAGTTGGCACAGGGGGGTAATCGAGCATGGGGATTCCGAATACAATATTGGTTTTCAGGATTATCGATTACTTTTATCGATTTTATCGATTTTTTTGCAAAGTTTGAGCTACGGGGCTGAGAGTTCGCACAGGGGGGTAGTCGAGCATGGGGATTCCGAATACAATATTGGTTTTCGGGATTATCGGTTACTTTTATCGATTTTATCGATTTTTTTGCAAAGTTTGAGCTAGGGGGCTGGGAGTTGGCGCAGGGGGGTAATCGAGCATGCTGATCATCCCCAAGGGGGGTGATCAGCATGCTCGATTACACCCCTGTGCCAAATTCCAGCCCCCTAGCTCAAATTTTCAAAAAATCGATAAAATCGATAAAAGTAATGGACGATCTTGAAAACTAATATTGTATTCGTAATCTGCATGCTCGATTACTCCCCTGTGCAAACTCCCAGCCCCGCAGGTCAAACTTTACAAAAAAAATCGATAAAATCGATAAAAGTAATGGACGATCCTGAAAACTAATATTGTGTTCGTAATCAGCATGCTCGATTACCCCCCTGTGCAAACTCCCAGCCCCGCAGGTCAAAATTTACAAAAAAATCGATAAAATCAATAAAAGTAATCGATAATTCTGAAAACTAATATTGTGTTCGGAATCCCCATGCTCACTTCCCCCCTGTGCCAACTCCTAGCCCTGTAGGTGAACTCTGCAAAAAAGATCGATAAAAATCGGTATAATCGACATCGATCGATAACGAAAAGTGGACTGTGACACCCGCCGGGGCCCGAAGTGTATGTGTGCAAAGTTTGGTCCGGATCGGTTCAGAAATGGAATTTTCTATTTGGAACATACGTACACGGGTCTAGCTGGCAGGCCCGGCGGAGCCGGGCAAGCCAGCTAGTTACGATATAGTCTACCCCGCTCCATATCCAGAGTCGCTTCGGATGCTGAAAGCGGGATTTCAGAGAAAGTTTCGAATTTAAAATTCAATAGCGAAACTGCCCCAATCAAGAAACTTCGGAATTTGGAGTTTTTGAGATTGCTCCGCAGTAGCTAGACTTGTTTGTCGCAAACTCAGGCTTATCTGTTTAATGTTGAGGTTGAAGGCGCCGCCCACCGTAAGATGGGGGTTTTAAGCTCTTGGCAGCTAACGATAGCAGGACTCTCGATCAAGCCAATCAAGTAGCGGCCGTCTTAAAAGTCGCTTTCGGGAAGAAAACCGCTTCGGACTAACGACCGGCCTACGGGCTCACCGGAACGGGGATTCTCGACTTCATATTCGTAATCAGGTACATGAGAAGGCCCCGGAACGACAAAACATGGAAGTCAAGAATCTGGGTTGATGGTGCCTTCAAAGTGTATGCCCAGTCATACAGTTCTAACGATGGAAAAACGGATGTCCTCTGCATGTATAACAGCAAGTGAAGGGGACATTAAATGAGATGTTTTATTCATTACAGTGTACAAATCAGAAATGTACGAATATCCATTCATCCAACTCGGAAGTCCCAAATTTTGGTACCATACTGTAGATTATGGTTCCTCTACCAACACTATGCATAGTTTTGGCTTAACGTATGATTCGGCTGCAAACGGCTCCATTTTTGTTTCTATCCCAAACTCAATTTGACCTGCTTTCGGAAAATGCGTATTCTTCTACTTGCTACCAAAAATCAGACAGTTCGCGCATGTTTACAGCCCACTACGTATTCTGCATTATGCTTTGAAATAAATGCGCTATGCTCAAGAAGAAAAAGGCTAGAAAATAGTCGCAAACTCAGGTGCCAACTCAATGATTGTTTAGAACTGATATCTCTAGCAGCAGTTTTGACAAAAGTTCACTTCCAAACGCTATAATTTTGAGAGGCAGTTCAACTTGCACAAAATCAACTTCGAAAAAACGCTGATGTTCTCAATCTTATGATTTCCTTTTTTTTTCAAACCCTATGCTACCCATTTTACGCTTGGAAATAAAATTATTACAATGTTTCACGAGAAACTTTCTCCCGCAAACTTTTAAAATATTCTGACACCCGCGTACGTGGGCTAACTGATGAAAATGAAGTGGTGACACTTTTTTACTAACAGCTTTCAGTTACCCTATCATATGCCAGTTTCTTCGATGATACTAGGTTTATCATCAAACAGGGTCAGAGATTGCGCGTCGTTGCGGTGAATCAAATAAGGCTTTTATTTCGGATTTTACAGGAATATGTGGAAACATCCGATTGGAAAACCATAGCTATTGTTGTATGGTTATTGTTTGTATTTGATGAATTAGCATTTGTAAAAACCTGTGGAAAAATAGCGCTAAAGATGACTCATAATTACAAAGATTACGTGCTAATTCACTGATCAAAAAGTTTCAAAGTCAACCCCCTGACGGAGTGAGACAAAGATAAAGGTAGCTGTCTTTCATAATGTCCACAAGCGGCTGTCAATTAGCTCATTACAGAGCAAGTTGCTGTTTGCTGATTTAGGCTGTCAAACAGTGAAAAAAGTTTTTTTGACGACTTACATGCGAATGTAGAATCTGCACACTATAAAAAGGCTTGAGTGTTTGTGAAGAATAGAAGGCTATAGTTCAACCCAGGTGTGTGATTACATTCAGAAACGTTGTTGTTCCAATTTCTGCAAAGTACTTTTTGATGTCATGTAATCCGTAGAAGCTTTTGACTGAAGCAAGTTTATGTGGTTAATCTAATTAACGCCATTACGATTTCTGCTTCTATCTTTCTTAGCGGGGTTAACTCTTGTGTGAAAA